CTGTTTCGCACTTCACCTTATCCGATGCCATCAATCCCGTCAAAAAAGTATAACCGATGAACGGTCAGAACAAGGCTGATCCGGCAAGGTCAGGAGAAAGCCTTGGCTTTGTATGCCAGTCCCCGATTCCATGCAAAAACTTCCCCTGGTCGTCCTCCATTCTGCATTTAGGACCCGGTTTAAATTAATTTTTCATTCCTGATTGGGTGGGTCCCTAGTCTGCAAAACCTACTATCCAGCGTTGGAAAATTCAGAAGAGGTGCTAATGAGATTAGATTCCGAAAAGGATTTAAGTGTTTGGCTCTTTCCGAACATTTCCTTCGCACTGCTGCATGAGAAATCGGCTCGAAAGGTATCCACCGTTATACGGATGATTCGGCACATCTTCTCTCGTGCTACTCGCATAGCCTTGCAAATAATTCATGGGCCGCTTCTTGAATATGCCAGCCAAGTTTTCTACTCAAGATGCAAGGAAGTCGTAACTCTCACTAGTCGTACCAAACGAGCTGCATTGAAAATGGTTGCCGGGCTCAAATCTGTTGACTATGAAACGCTCCTCGCGGTGGGTACCCAATTTCTCGTGGAGTGTCGTCATCTCCGAGGAAACCGAATACTTACTTATGTTCATTTTGTACAAGGTTTGGCGAACAGATTTTTATCGTCGACCAAGCTAACACAGCGCGGACATGGTGAGATTTTCAAGCCCAGAGAGCACAATTTTATTAGGCAGATTATTTTTTATCATTTTGAGTAGTTACTGCATGGAATAACTTTCCAAGGTTTGTATATGCTCTATCTGTTACCCAACACAAAGCATTATTACACGCGTTTTTATGGGGCCCCGGCGCTGGCAGGCTTACCGTCCAACGCTTAGAAATTAAAGGGGAGTTCTTCACCGATTTTCGCTTGCACCTTTCAGGCTTATGACAGCCGCTGAAAGATAAAAAGAGTTTAGAACTGCGAAGCATGGGCGAAACCTTCCATACTGTGTATTTATTTATGTACCATTGAATCCGTGGAGAGGTTATTTTGGTCGTTGGCTTGTTCGCTGAGAGGGTCACTTTGGCTGCAACCGTTCCATCCATAATCGAGGTGACATCATCAGTGCGTAGTTGTGCGTAGCGGTGGATTAGTGGGTGTGCGTTCAGTAGTGTTATGTGTGTGTTGATATACGTGCTGGTAGCCGGGTATTACCTTTGACCGCGATTAGTCATTCCGTCGGGCGGTTCCATTGGTTGTTCTTTTATCCCGTGTCCTCATTCGCCGATGCTCACGTGACCTTTGAACTTGGCACCCCTCGCCGTCGTGGTCTAGTCGATGTTGGAGTGACCTTTGCCCTTCCGAGTTCCGGTCGTGACCTTTATTGATTTGACTCCGAGGTGTTCCCTGTTTCTTCGTTGGTGAATCCATTATTCGGTCCTCCTTGAGTGTTTCGGTTGCGATGTTGATATCTCGCACGTAGAGTTGCGTAAATTGGATCCAGTTTAATGCACCGGTTTAGGAATCCTTCCGTAGAGTTCTATGCTTCCAGAAATTCTCTTCCGTGTCGCGTATCTCCGTATGCCAAAATTTTCGCGTTTTCCAGGTTGAATTTGTGGCCTTCCTGGTTCTCGTGTATGGATATCAAGGACAGGGGGTCATGTCTCCTGACAGCCGCGTTGTGTTCTTTTATTCGAGTACATAATTTTCTCCCAGTTTGTCCAACGTAGAATTTGTTGCCGTCGTTGCAGTCGATTTGGTATATCACATTGTTCCTCTTGGTTTTGTCACGGTTGTCCTTCGGTCTAGAGATTAATTTCGTTAGTGTGGCACTCGGTTTGTGGGCCACGAAGATTTCTTTTTTGCGTCAATAATCTGGTTGCGAGTTCTGATATATTCTTGATGTAGGGTAGGACTACCCGTCTGGTGGCTTGTTCTTGCTGTGGCTGTTGTTGAGGTGTCTTCTTTTTCAAGCTTCTCTTGATAAAACTCCTTGAATGTCCATTGTTCTGGAACATTCTGTATAGATGGTTTTCCTCCTTCTTCCGTAGTTCTGTGGTGCTGTAGTGTGTCTCCGCCATCTTAAACAAGGTTTGGACGCAGCTCTTTTTGTGGTTTACTGGATGGTTGCTGTTGTAGTTCAGTATTTGGTTCGTATGAGTCTCTTTGCGGTGTACGCAGATTTCCAGAGTCCCGTCCACCTTTCTGTTCACTAAGACGGTCTTTGCATTATCACCTCAGCAATGAATCCTGATGTTGGGGATCCCATAGGAGTTCTTTTCAGCTGTTAATATGTTTGTCCATCGAAGGTAAAGTATGAACACATGCAAAAGTCCGACAGTTTGCATATACTTTCAGGTTTCATGGCTTCCGTCGTGTCTGGATTACTCCGAAGCAATTCGCTATGGTTTCCCGTCCGAGGTTGTGGTCGATTGAAGTGAAGTATGGTTTCCCGAGGTTGTGGTCGATTGAAGTGAAGAGTGATGTGACATCAAACGAAAGCACGACCTCATCGTCTTCCATAGTGAAGTTCGTTCCTTTGTGTAGGAATTGACCTTCATTTTTGATTGTGTTCCGATCCGGAGACTAAGTGTTTTAATCTTCTCCATATGTCTTTTGCTATTTCGTACGTTGGGGTTCCCGGAGGTGAAACGACTGGTCTAAGTGGATTTCCTTCTTTGTGCACCTTTTGTAGTCCTAGAATTGTGCAATGTTGGTATCGTCGGCTTTCATTTTCCATCGTTCTTGTCTGGTTATCTTGTGTGTGGCTTGCAGTTTCTTGAGCGTCGGGTTGATTCGATTGATGACGTTTGAAGTTGGGTCATGATCGATTGGTTTGTACATCGTGGTGTCATTTAGCAGTTGTTTGGCCTTTTCAAT